TGGAAATCATGTTCTGAGTCAAAGTTTTGATTCCTGTTGTAGTGATTTAAACTTTGTTTTCTCTTAGAGGCTAAAAAATGATAAAACTCCAAGGGATGGAAACCCCTGGAGGTTTTGAAGTCTTGTCCAATGGGCGCTCCTGCAAAATGTAAACATTCCACAAGCTGACTGGAAGAGACGAGTTGTAGTTTGGGTAGTAGAAGAAAGTAGCCATGTTGTGAAAGCCACGAGGAGAGGGCAGGAGCCCTCTGGGGGGGGCCTCTGCCCCCCACCCCCAGCCCCAGAGGGGGCTACAGAGACTTGGAACAGTGTTAAACTGGACTAAGTGTCTGTAGTTAAGCTGGGGGATGTTTTTCCACTGTGAGTGAGCAGAGACAGAGCAGAAGCGGCGGCAGCGTCCAGAGGTTATGGCTAAGAGCCAAGAGATAACTGAAGGAACAGTAAACAGCATGCCAAGGAAGACTCAGAGTTGCTCGAGCCGAGATAGAGAGCTGGCAGCAGAGAGGCAGAGTTTTTGGGGTAAGAACTGAACCAGATCCCCCAAAAACCCTTGGAGACCCCTCCTAGAAAGAAGGGACATGAACTCCTACTAAGGAGAGGAGCCTTGGAGTGCTACAGCACTTGCAGAAAGGAGCTAGAAGCTCAGGAGCTAGAGAGCTGAGCCAGGACGGTGAGGGGGGTTGGCCTTGGGGGCCCTGCCTTGCTGCAAGCTACGGAGAAGCTCACAGCCTGAGGCAGGGTACAGAGGCCCTGCAAGGAGCTTGAATCTCCTGAAGATACCAGACTGTCACGAAGACCCCCTGTGCTTCGTGATATGACCGTGGTGGAACAACCTTTGTCTGGGGTGACGTAGCCCACGGAGGAAGACTCCTTTGCCTGCATCAAGGGGGCTGAGAGAGGCTTGGAGGCCTCCCTCGTGTTTGCTGGCAGAAATCCAGCCACAGCTGCTGCATGCATGTGAAGAGTGCTGCATGCATGAGATGAGGAAAACCTGCTGCCTTAGAAGAGACTCCTGCTTTGAGACTGGAAGGGATCTGTTCTTCTTCCCTCCTGGACTTTTATTTGGAGGGGAGGAGAGATCTGATCCATTGTAAATACTATATGTCATGGGAGAGAGAGTTGTGATCATGTGTATAATGTATTATGATATTTATTTTTACAGTCATTGTAATATATTCCCTTTTCCCCATTCTGAGTCTGGCGTGTTTTGTCTGTAAAGAATCATCCCACATTAAGTTGAGATGTGGGAGGGGGGCTAGGACTAGGGAGTTAGGATTTTGGAGAATCTCAAACCATGACACCTGTATATTCATCAGTATATTCTATATGTTCATGAAGAACAGGTCAACATAAAGGACGGTAGAAAAGACAGACAGAGGAAAGAACAAATTCTGCTATGGCACAAAGAGAAAAAATGAACTGCTTTCAGAGTTTAGTTTTCAAAACTAAATGTCTGCCCCCATGCCTGTAATGTGAAACAACTAGCATTTGTTAGTAAAAAGCTGATTAAAACAGTGAAGAAAGACTGCTTCTCCTGCAGTGATTGAGTTGATGCAAGATTTGAATTGCCTTCTAGAAGCTTCTCTCCACTGATTGTACAAGAACCCAGGACAACTATACTCTTAATTAAGATCTTCAATTAAGTACTTTAAATTTGGTGGGATCAATGCCAACTAAAGAAATTATTCTCACTTTTTTTTGTACAAAAAGAATGCTACATCATGTCTTTTGTTTCCTGGAAGACTCACCACTGAAGGTACAAATCTTGAACTGTACCTTCTTGAAATCAAATGGGGTTTTATCACTTGATTCAGGGACATTTTGAGGAGCTAAAATGGTCTTGGCAATACTATTCTTTTTTCCCTTTCCTTTCAATGAAGCATTTCCTCCCATTCCATGTCTTCCACTGCTTCTCTATGAAACAGTGATAGAGTGTGCAAGGAGACAGACTCACCCCTCAAACCAAACTAATACAACCAGGCAAGCACATTTGCAAATAGTCCCCAACACATCTGCTCATGTCCTCCCCTGTCCTTCAGTAAAGAACTGTAGTCTCCTCCTACATGAAAGTCTTTCTGTTGCTCTGTCATTTCAATTACTTATTAGAAATTTTACCATAGCTTCCCTAGAAGATGGGCAGAGGAACTGAACAGTCATTAAGTTCCTTACCATACATCTGTAAAATTTCACAAATCTTAGTGTAATTTTCCTTCTGATTGCCTTTTTTATTTCCTATACTTACACTCTAAACGTAATAATATACCACGTATTAGCTGTTAGTTTATGGATTGCTACAATAATTGCATAGCAATTCCATACATGACTAATTAAGCATAAAACATCAGTCTGAGCTATAGCTCATCAACTTTTTAGAGAACATTTCAAAAGAAAACTTCAGCCAACTGTTCCTTCCTTTATGTGATTTAACTTGTCAGTAGGAGAGGTTATGATATTTTCATCTTAATTATCTTAATTTTAAAATTCCTCTTTCAAATCAGAATAGTATTGCAGAATGGATTTCATTACTTTAATTATTCAGAAATCATGCACTACTTAACAATAATTAACAACTGTCTGTAATTATGGGTGCATAGGGGTTTCTCTGCTTAATGCAAAGTGCCTTGTTGAAAGTCAAGGTATTTCAGTGGGGGAAGGATATAAAATGTCATAGGATATGCTGAACAGAAAGCTTTGCTCTTCTGATAGAGAGTAATATAATTTTCAATTTAAAGTTTAATTTCTTTTATGGTCTTTAAAAAATGCTGATCTATTTTAGAAACCATAAAAAAACATATAAAGATATACATATATAGCTGTTATTACCTGAAGTATAAGCAGGATTATTTTACTGACAGTCTATCTTATTTAGTCTGGTTATTACTGAGAAAATAGAAAACACTGTTCTGTGGCAGCATGGTTCTAGTGACCACATTGTTTTTTTTCAGTATCAGAAATTAGAAGCACCAATAATACTTACATCTAGTAAATAAGCATCTAGTGAACTAATGACATTTTCAAACTGAGAAAAAGGAGATTCTTTCGAAAGTGATCACAAAATTGTCCTTTTTAGTCCCAAACAGGATATCTGTCTTGCTCTGAATGTAGCATTGCTGGCAATCAGAATGGTCGATGAACTTGAAGTCTTTTCTTCAAATAAAACTTGAAAATCAGTCACCTAACATTCTGTTTTTCTCTAAATTTACAAATAATTGTTGCCAAAGTTATAAATTATTCATAAATTATGTGATCGGTTGTAGGAGGTATGTCCAAGGCATGGGGGACCTGCCAGGGCAGAGAAGCCCAAAGGAGTATGCGTCTAAATGGATAACCCTATTGGTTAGAAGGTCACATGATATCAGGGTATAAAGGGAAGCACCGAATTTGAAATAAACCTCTTTTGATTACCACCTCAGAAGAGCGTGCATCCTTCTTTATCACATAAAGGTACCTCACACTATAATCGGTGATTTTGAAGTGTTCATGTTTTTGGTGTTCATCCTTGTCTAATGTCAAGAATTCAGACTTTTGTAGATTCATCTTTCCTAGCATGAGAACATGCATTCATATGCAGATCTGTTCATCTTTCCAAAATAATAGCTATGCAACAACAGTATATTTAGACACACTTTTTCTTATATAAAAGGATGGATTTTTCTCAATTGGCAGCTTGAGCACTGCACACGTGTATGTACACACTCATATGTGTTCACACATTGTGTACAGACATATTTCTAACTCTCATAATGGAGCTGGGATTTCCTCTAAGCTTTTGTTCAATAAACAGAAACAAAGTCTTTTGCAGTAAGGAATCAATGACAATTTGGAATCATTGAAGCTGTGCTTTTTCCTCTTGATTAGTGAGAACAGCAGCACTCTCAGTTAATAAAATTGTGATTGTATTAAGTAGGACTGACAAAAGTCCCATTAGAAAAAGATGCACTCTACTATGTTTTCCTATAATGCTACTTTTTAAAAGAAAAATCCCATATTTCTTTTGCCAACTGAGAGCCTGAAGCTGAAATTCATCCCAAATGTCTCTGTACTTGCTAAAAATGTACTTCATTATAAAGATGCTGCTGCCATCTATTGGGTAACATTATTGTACAAAAGAATTATGTTATTTCTGTATTCAGCAAGGACAAATAAATTGTGTGATTCATTTGATTTCCTGTAGAGTTTTATTAGCAACTAGGTTATAGCAACCTTTATTAGGTTTATAAGAGATGGCTTATACAAAGAACTTCGTCCTGTCTTTGTCACCATTACCAAATTTCATGAAGAGAAATGTTTTAGCATAGTGATGGACTTAATGTGTCAGTGGAACAATGGAAAAATAAAAAAATCAACAATAAACTCACCCCTTTAGTAGTGCATCACATCTCAGTAATGTCTTATAGAGATGTTTTGGTGCACAGTGTCACTAGTGGAACTGCATCATTGTTTTGGAATAAAAAATCTCATTTCCAGCTAAGTGACAATCTTTTGCAATACAAAGAGACTCCTGTGATATTCATGGATTTTTTTTAAGTAACCTATTGAAACTTCAAAGAAATATTTTGCCCTTTTAAGATTGATTTTATTTTCTTATAAAATTTTAATTGCCATTCTGATTCCTATTGCGACATCCTCGCATCTATATCTTCGGCTACACAAACTGTGCATTTTTATGAAGTATACAGATGTCAAACGCATAAGCACTGAAAGCATATATTTGAGCTTTGTAAGTTATAGTTCAGTCCTTTTCTTAGTGAGACCACATGGAAGTAAGCGCACACAGTAAAATAAATGAAATAAGTTGGTGAAGTGTCCCCCTCTGCTCTGGCGGTTCTGGCAGGGCAGAGGCCTTGGAAGCATTGCTCTGCTACAGAAAACAGACAAACAACTAATAATGATAACAGAAAACAGTAGCAAAAGAATGAATATACTTCTCTGACATCGCCTCTTGCCATATCTTTCTGACACTGACTAATCAGGGGTTTTTTGTTTATCTTCTCTCTTAGCCTTTGGAAGAGCAAGAAGGCTCTTTTTGTGGCCCAGGAGAAAACTAGCTGTCTACAGTAAGTATCACGTGAATTGTTGATGCATAGACCATTGGTAACCAGCTTGACATTTTATTGCTACAATGGACAGATAAAAGGCCACCAGTCAAAAACAGCAGGAAGAAAATTCCTCTCTACTTTAAAACAATATATGTGACTCAGAAACACTGAAGCAACAGCAAGCTGGAACCTCTCAATGCTAACTGTACGAGGACTGGAGAATTACACTTTGCAACCTCTGATTTTTTTTGTTGCTGAGGTTAAATCCAGACAAGTTTAACTAACTGCATGCTATGACTGAGAAAAACTATCACAAACAGTAAAAATTTATTTTCTGCCATGCTTGGAAAAGAAACATTTCTTCTGGCTAGTGTACTCCTACGTAAGTATAAATGCTTCCCATTACCATTAACAGCACAGAAAGGAGAGCTCTTAAGTATTAGACTAGAACTCAGAAGATCTTGCATCTAATCATACTTCTGCTACAGCATTTCTACATGACCTTGGGCTAGACACACAAAATTCTATCTATACTTCAGGCTACTACTGGTAAATGGAGATAATGATATATCTGCCCCTTACAGCAGCATTGTGAAGTCAAACTCAGGTTACTCTAATAGTAACATTTGTTTTCTGATATTGAAATGATAAAAGCCATTAAAAGCCTGCTGCAGTAAGGTTAGAGAGGAGTCTGACGTTCTTTTTTGCATGTTTACCTTTCCCTTAACACATCATTTAAGGAAAAAAGAATATTATTTTGAAAACAGTCTCTGCTAAACAGCACCAGGAAGACTTGTATGTGGAAGAGCAGCTGCAGAAAAAGAATATGCAGTAGAAGAGGAAGAAAACTCCACTCTTGTTCTGTGGAAGACTGCAGAACCTACCTACAGAAGGGCTGATAAGGTAAGCTCAGTGTATTCTAACAACCAGAATTTCAACATTATAAAAGGAGAAATGTCTGCAGATGGCAGCATGGTGAAATTACAACCTCTATCAACTGAAATGACAAAGGGGATATGGAAAAGTGGCTCCAATGTAATATCAAAACCATGTTGTAGGTTTTTTGGACAGATAGAAAGTGAATTTACAGAGAATACAATTTAGATGTGCTTTTACGAAATAAAAGCCACAGTACCATTTGAGTTATACTAAACTATGCTTTTAATATTTCTACTGCTCGTATCAACTGTCCTTTTTATTCAAGTAGGCAGATGTTTTCCATGAGGATTCTTGTCCTTTCTGCGGTGTCTATAGATTAGTAATACTGAATGGTATTTTTACTTATATTTAATCATCCAAATGATTTTGCTTAACTGAACTTTTGCAAAGCCTTTGGTTCTTAATACCTTGAATTTCTCCATCCTAATCCTAACTTGACCAAGTATCTATTGGTTATTAAGTAACTATGCCATCAGGATATGTTAAAAAGAAAAGAAAAGCTAGAATTTTGCTTTCTCCAGTCTGGCTTTCTATGTAAACCAAGGCCAAATGTCTAACAGAAATGCAGTGTTCCTCTATGAGAAATTAAAATCACAAAGAAGAGGTCTAACATTTTCTTCCCTTTAAAACCAAGGGCTGCAAATGCAAAGAACTTTGTATGCTGAGGTTTCACTTTTGCTACTCTATAAACACAGGGTATAATAAGATAAGGCTGCAGATACCTGTTCAATCTCACTTCTGCAGCAATTAAATCTACCATGTAATTTTGAAACACATTTTCTTCTAAGTCTCATGGACTGGAATCTTGTTTTTACTTGTCTTGGAATGTATCCCTCAATTAAACACATTCAATTAACAATATGGAAATGTAAACAACTCCTTACCTGTTAAACTGGCACCATACTACCATTCTCCCCAGGAACGGAATGACAACTTGTCAGTGTAATGAAAACTGGGGTTTTTTTCCATCTCTGACCTGAACGGAACACATGAAGAAACGGTAGATGGGAGTGTGATGAGCTAGAGGAATACAGTATTGGACTAGTATACTGGGCTTAGTTATGAAGAAAAGGAAAGGGCTAACTTCTGGTTAGGTAGCAACTAAGCAGCATAATGAAAAGTGTGTGCATCTAAAATGCCTTCTCTGTGTTGTATAGTTACTCTGTGGTTCAGGGAATTATTTTTAAATCACACTTTTCCTCTAGTGGCTACTTCAAATTCCTCCTTTAAAGTTTCTCTGCTTCAGAGGTTTGAGGTCTGGTTTTCTAAAGATCTGAAGACCAGTAGCTAGAACTAATTCAAAAACACTTGTATCCTGAATACATGAAAGTCAAAATACTGACTTTGCCAAAGCGGCATGCACCAAGCTCAGTAGCCAGTTATTTGAGATTTGAGGAGCTAACATCAGCCACTTACCCTCTTGGGGAAGCAGGGAACTTCTCAGGAAAAGAGAGGAAGAAGAGAAGACTCCCACACAACAAAAGCTTTATGTGCAGTAACTTATTATCTGACTGCTTGGACAAGCATCACGAAGGCGATATGGAGCCAAAGTCATCCTTTTGTATGTACCAGGTGAAGGGAAGCATTTATAATTGGGAACTGTTTATGTGCTCAACAGTTGGAATATGATCCGATGTATTGGCTGTCTATATCGCATTTTGTACTCAAACAACTGCTCTCTGTATCTCCAACAGAAAAAACAAGAGTCCTAACTGCTCAGAAAACCAGATGTGGCTGAAAGATCATTAGCAGGACCCGGCACGCCTAAAAATTCAGATCCTGTGTGTCTCAGTTCAGACATTTAAAATTATTGGAAACACTGTAGTTCCAGCCCCAATCACTCTGAGGCTCCCTTAAGAAAGGGAATAACAATATAATAATGAATAATAGGGATTGTGCATGTATATTAATGGGAGTCACCGCTGACTATCTTCATTGTCAGGTTGATGGACCTCAAACATCCTGTGATCTTTATCCCATGCAATGCAGTAGACAACATAACAAACTTGTGGAAAAAATTACCAAGATTCAATGTAATTAAAGGGCATACCATACAACTTTAACACCAGGGATGGCACACCTGGCGATGAACCTTAATTCTTTATCATGATAATTCCTAAATTTCAGTGGCTGAATGTATTCATTTAATAGAAAGTTTGGGAATAATTTTGAGAGGGGAGAGAGAAGGGAAGTGTTTTAATAGCTCACAACCCACATTGATGCACTCATGACATTTTTGTTCACCTCATCTTCTTCGTGTATTCCTCTCCATTTTACCTCATTTCTTCTGTCTCTTTCTTGCCTGTGTTTTTGTAGACTCCTTCTTTTCTTTCCAGGCTTCCTAACTTTTCAGTCTCAGTACTGTACTGAATACAAGTAAACCAAAAGTTGAGTAGCTCTAGGACATAAACAACTGTGACCTTCCCCTCTGTCCCTCTTCCCCAGAAAAACAGAGATTGAGCAAGTTCATTTAATGGTACCAGTTCTTTTTATCTACTTTTTATATCAGTCTATAGAATAGTACTATGGATGGAAGGAGATAAATGACACACAGTTCCTGGTATAAAGAGATTTGGCTTCCTTTTGTAGCAACCCCTCAGAGAAACAATAAGTGAAGCAAAAAGACAGATATTCTCTTCTACAAAGTCTCTAAAGTTCAACATAAAAAAACCCCAAACTTCTTCAATTATGTAGTACAACCTCCTCAAAAAAAGCAGGAACAAGAGGCAGATCCTAGTTTACAATGTCATTGAAAATAGAAATTATTTTGTAACTTTTATGTTTCCTGGGTTTTATCCAAATGTCTGTGACTCTCAGTCTCATTTCAGATGTGTGCTGGATTTCTCCCCTTTCTTCTTTTCCCTCCCTTGACAAGCATTAATTATTTGTATGCCATACAATCCTGAAGGGCAAACATTCTTTTACAGGGGAAGGGAGACAAACATTTTAAGATGGGGAGAAAACAGAAAAATACTTATTAGCCCCCAAAGTCAGCACTTTGCAGGGCAGAATTAGTAGTGCAATCACACCTATGATAAGCTGAGATCATAGCAAAAAAGGAGCAGAGAACAGCAAGCTTAAAACATCCTCAACTCCACCCACCCAACAGCTGCTCTGGAAACCCATTAGAACAATTTTACAGCCATTCCTGTAGTTCCCAAATGCTACTTAATATAAATAAATAAGTGCATTAAAGGAGAATCTTATCCATAAACTTTGGAAGATTTTCAGTTATATTTTCTGTCAGTTTAGTCTGATGTCACCTCAGAATATTCTCTAATTCCACTATATACTGTAGATATCTCCATAATTGAAGCTATAGTTATCCCTTACAGAACAGCTTGAGACAGTAGAATTAACTAAGATAAATCAAGAATTAAACCACAAGAAAGATAAAATAATGTTAGAATCATGTTCTTGAAATATAGATAATAAAATGGAAAGTATTATTTTAATTTCAGATTGAAATTAAATAGGATTTTTCCTGTGTGTTTATGGTGGTGGCACCAGAGACATCAGTTTTAACAGAAAGAAGGGAAGTGGTAAATTGTGACTAGATTGCAAGAAAACCAGAACTTGTGTTATATTTGAGTCATTGTGGGTTAGTGAATTCAAGTAAACAACTAATCCTTCACATCAATCTGGCCAAATCCTGAGGGACTCATAACAATTGGGAACTGCTCCTGATTTTACGATTTGCTCTCCTCCTTTGGGTCCAGGAGTTCCTAATTCCAGATGAGGCATCCAGCTGAAGATGCATAGGAGCAGTACTGAGGCACCCCATAGCTGATTGCAAAAGACACATTCACTGAATGAGCTGAACCTGCACTATAATAATAACTAGTTTTCTATGTTCAATGAATTTTTCAACACCAGCTCTTTATAGTAATACTGTATTGTGTAGAATAAATAAGGCCATAGATAGCAATGCAATTGTAAGGATCCATAGATTTGTAGTTTGTTTGAGACACAGCAACAACTCTTCATGTTCACTACAATAACATTCAATTAGCTCTAATGAGTATAAGCTTTAATGTTTAACCCAATGCCTCTCTAAGGATATGCTTGAGAGGAGGTGCAGCTACCAGCTGGTAAAATATAACACATATGATTAGGACAAATTATTTTCAAAACACAACTGCCATAAAAATCTAAATTAAAGGTAAATTGACAGAATGATTGCTGCTAAATTCTACTGTCAGCATTGTAAATGCAATAATATACCATAATTTATTTTAATGAGCAATGATTAAGAAATGGCTTCTCAAGTTGTATGTAATTTCTTTAAATCATTAGTTATTAGTTTTTGATGTATAAATGTGTTTTAATATTGGCTTATCTGAGATCTAGTAGGTGACTAAAGCCTTTTAGTATATTATTTTTTTGTTTGTAGAGTTGTACATTGCAGACAATTCTAGCACAAGGCATTTATAAGAAAGAGATTAGTGACACCTGAGAGAAATATTCCTTAAGTATTACAAAAACTATATAAAGCAATATGAGAAAGGTGTCACAGAAAATCCTGATATGCTTAACACTGAGTTTTGTTTTATATAACTGCAGCTACAGTTTAACGGCCTCTGTCTTAATAAAATATTTAAGTTAACCTGGTTGCAGAGTGACTTATAATACTACATGTTCTTTCACTTTATTAGGATAAAGAAATATTATCATGGGAGGCTGGACTAACAAGCCTAGGTATTGCTTGTATTGTTAAAGAATAGGTTCACATCTCAGAAAAGTGTAAAGACCTAGAGAAACTGGCACCTCGTTAACTGAAAAGGCATTCTACTTATCTTATAGAAAGCAGTCTACTTTGTGCTAAGAAGAATGGTTTAGAAAAACAAACAGCCTCTCTGCTACCAGTCATTTTCATGTAACACAATATTTATTGTGCTTGCTCTTATCCAAGCTGGGGGAGGAGGTAAAGGGGAAAAGAAACAAATGCTGAACAAGTCTCTTCAGAAGTCAAACTTTAACCTGACCTAACACAGTGCATCATAACCTCATAACTATGAGTCTCATTCTTACAAATTCATCCATGAAAATATCTTTAACTGGGATATATGAGTTATCTTGGTATACAGATTTTTGATTTTTTTTTTTTTACTTACAGTATTCGGTCAGGTTATATTTATGTTGTTTAGGCCTCTATGTATCCAGAAACTTAAGAATAATGAATAAACCTTTGAAGATTATTTTGGTAGTTGCACTGTAGGTCATTAAAATTAGGTTAAACTGCTTCAATAGATATAGATATTTCTAACCACTATGCATATGTTGCTTTTGCTATATTTTAAAGCATATTTCTTATTCCAGTTATGTTTAGCCATCAAAACAATAACATCGCACTGTAATTAATAATTTTCTACTGCAACCATTTTTCAGGACAGTAAATAATGCACCACGATTTCCAAACCATTCTTAATCGAGTTTAAAATCTCTTTTGACAGGAGGAAAAGTGCCAGCAAAACCTCAGCTCTGGATATGAGGAGAGTAGACTTCAGGGTGCTCAGGGAATGAGTAAGTAAGGTCCCTGGCAAAAATGTTTTTGCAGGTGCTGGGGTCCTGTACTGAGGGCAGAGGAGTAGCAATTCCCAAATGCTGGAAGTCAAGCAGGCGAGGCAGAAGATGGTTTGACTGAACAGGAATCTTCTCTTGGAGATAAGGCAAAAAAGGAAGGTGCATACCCAGTGGAAGCAAGGTCAGGTGATATGGGAAGAATACAGAGATTTTGCTTGCTGCTGTAGGGAGAAAATTCATGTGACCAAAGCTGAACTGGAGTTGCAGCTGCCAGAAATGTGGGGGACAATAAAAATGTTGTTCCAAATACATTAATGGCGACAGGCAGTGTAGAAATAACATCGCCCCATTACAGGATGAGGATGGTCACCTCACAAACAGGACAAGGCAGAGGTACTTAATACTTTCTTTGACTCTGTCTTCAACACAGATGACAGACCAAGAGGGTCTCAGTGCCCTGAGTTGGAGGACCATGACTGTGAGAATGATCAACTCTCAGTTGACCCTGAAATTGTGCAGGATCTGCTGCTCCAGCTAGATCCCGTCAAATCTATGGATCCTGATGGGATTCATCCCAGAATTCTCAAAGAGCTGGCTGATGCCATCACAAAACCTTTCTTGATGATTTCTGAGTGATCTTGGGAATCTGGAGAGGTCCCAGCTGACTGGAAACTGGTGAACATTGTCCCAGTTTTCAAGAAGGGCATGAAGGAGGACTCCATAGACTACAGGTCTGTAAGTCTCACTTCAGTTGCTGGTAAATTTATGGAGAAGATTATTCTGGGTAGTATTGAAAAACACGTGAAAGACAACAGTCAGTGGTCACAGCCAGCACAGCTTCAGGAGAGTAAAGTCTTGCTTATCAAACCTGATTTCCTTTTACGACAAGGTAACCCACCTAGCTGATCAAGGGAAGCTGTTTGACGTAATCTTTCTGGATTTCAGTAAAGCTTTTGGTAGTCTCTCTCATAGTATCCTTCTGGACAAAATGTCCAGCACATAGCTGGATAAACACATCATGTGGTGGATGAGCAATTGGCTCAGGGGTTGAGCACAGAGGGTAAGAGTGACTGGGGTGACATCAGACTGGGGACCTGACACTAGTGGAGTCCCACACGGCTCCAACTTAGGCCCTGTGCTCTTCAACATCTTCATAAATGACTTGGACACAGGATTGGAAGGGATATTAAGCAAGTTTGCAGATGACACAGAACTCAGAGGAGCTGTTAACTCCCTCAGAGGCAGAAAGGCCCTGCAGAGAGATCTCGACAAATTAGAGGACTGGGCAATTACCAACAATAGGAAATTCAACAAGGGAAAGTGCCAGATTCTACATCTGAGGTGGGGCAACCCCAGATGTACGTACAGACTGGGGAATGAGATACTGGAAAGCAGTGCCATGGAAAGGGACCCGGGGATCCTAGTCAGTGGCCAGGTGGACATGAGCCAGCAGTGCCCTGGCATCCAAGTGGGCCAACTGGGCCCTGGGGGCCATCAGACAAAGCATTGCCAGCCTGTCAAAGGATGTGATTGTCCTGCTCTGCTTTGCTCTGCACTGGTGCAGCCTCATCTTGAATATTGTGTGCAGTTTTGGGCACCACAGTATAAGAAAGACATTAAGTCATTAGAGAGTGTCCAAAGGAGGGCAATGAAGATGATGAGGGGCCTTGAGGGGAAGCCATGTGAAGAGCGACTGAGGGCACTTTGTTTAGCTGGAGAAGAGGAGACTGAGGGGAGACCTTATTGCAGTTACAACTTCCTCTTGAGGGGAAGAGGAGGGGCAGACACTGATCTCTTCTCTGTGGTGACCAGTGACAGAACCCAAGGGAACGACCTAAAGCTGTGTCAGGGGAGGTTTAAGTTGGATATCAGAAAGAGATTCTTCACCCAGCAGGTGGTTGGACAAGGATTAGGCTCCTCAGGGAAGTGGTCACAGTACTGAGCCTGACAGAGTTCAAGAAGTGTTTGGGTGATACTCTCAGGCATATGATGTCCCAGTCTTGGGGATGGTCCTGTGCAGGGCTAGGAATTGGACTTGATGATCCATGTGGGTCCCGGGTCCCTTCCAACTTAGCATATTCTACATTTCTGTAATTGCAAACAATCTTTGTGCCAGTTGGATAATAAATAAATGCCAACTAAGCTTAGAATTCAGTGTTCCACTGCCATGAATTTCAGTAGAAACCAACAACTTTGCTCCTTTGAGTTCCGCAGAGAAACTCAGTCATTGGTCATTTTTAACTATGGGAAGAATTGAACAAAAAAAAGAAGCTATTTAATTTCACTGTATCTAAACAAATTAAGTTTTGTCTGGGCAAGACTGCTGTGATCAGCACTAGGATCCTGTGTGCTACTTCTCAGGGTGTCAGGGATAGGTTTTGTGAGGATTCGTTACTTGTTTTTTCCCTTGCAATGAATCAAAGCCTATTTTGTAGAGATACAAGGCTGACTAAATCCTTCTTACGCAGCAGTGCAGAGTACTTGAGCAATGCAGCACAAGAAGTATTACAGTCTGCATAATAAATTTATTGAAGCCTTTATTTTCCTGTACATTTAAAACCTTTTCTTTTCCTGACGAAGATTATATTCATCCTGAAACATTACCCTTCAAGTGTTAAAATGACAAGTGCTGATGAAGGTAAAGCTGATCAGCTGCAAGACTCCCACTGCTGAACATTATAAAATTTCTGTTATTCCAACTGCTCAGTTAATTATCCAAATGTGAAGGATATCAGGAGGGGACTTGCTGAGCTTTACAGTTGACTTCCAGAGAATTATCCATAATAGAGTTGTTATAAGAAAATTATGATAGACACAATGTACAGGCACCTCTGCTTACCTCTTCTGAGTATTTGTGCAGGACCTTATAATCAGAGTTAAGGCTTTTCTCAGAATCAAAAAGAAGCCACATTTTGCAGTAGAAAAGCAGTCCAATCAATCTCGCAGTGTTTTATCACATAAACCCAGAGAGGATTCCGGAGTCATGCATATTAATTGGCTGCTGTAAAAATGACTGGCATTCCTCTGGTACCAGGGACTATTTGTTTAAATTTAGGTTTTCAAAATTACTATCATGCCTTGTCCACAGTTAAAAACAAACTCATTTCTGCCTCTATACATGGTTTCTGGGAAGCCATATGATCCATTTACAATAGGCACTCATAATGAGTCTTTATGTGACGGCAATTTTGTTTTTTTAAGCTATTACAGTCAAGGCTTTGTGAACCTGGGACATTTTACAGCAAAATAATTCAGGGTGAGGAAGCTTCAGTGACTACTAAAGAGTGAAGGAATGAGCAGTATTAAGGTGAATTGTTTAAAACATGGAATCTGTTCAAATCAGCTGCTAGAAAATTAAAAACTTTGACATATCCACACAGCACTGGCTAAAGCTCTACAACACCTTATTTCATGATCACAGTCACTTGAGTAAAACAAAACATATCAAACTTTCTCTTACCCTCCCAGAAAGCACAACTTGTGTACACAGCACAGTGCTATACTAGCATAATGCTAGTTAGCTCAGGGACTGGAAGCACAGTAGTTGTCTCATCCAACCTTGCCTAGGAAGGCAAAGTTATTGTTATTTTTTGCTGTTTCTAGTAATCACTCTCCAGTACAGAAGCAAAGCACTGAATTCACCTGTATGGGCATGCCCTGGCTGTGAGAAATTGCATAGGCTTGTGATTAAGCTATTGAAAGAAGGCATTCTGACAGCAGTGAGGATGGTCCTACTGAGAAGTTAATATTTGGAAATGAACAGAATCAGTTTATCCAAAGTAAATAATTACTTTTCCATGACATACAGTGGGAAATAATAATGCTATCTCATCTTTCACCGAAGTTCACCATTATAATTATATAAGCTTTTTTGAGAGGCTTATCATCATTGAATCTATGACATTATCAATTAATCATTTCTAGACATTCATAATTTTTCTAGATATTAAGAATCTCTGTCTTTGAAATATTATTTAACTTTGCAGTATAACTTCTAAGCAGGTGCACGTAACAGATTCTATAAAATAATGTGCAGTAGAATAAGCAATTTTGGGTATGATAACATCAGTGAAAATTACGTCCTGCAATTATCACCATAAAGTCATAAATGGGATGGTATAATAATGGAATAGTAATGGAAACCACATTTCCATAATTGAGATCATCCATATTCTGTGGTACCACCGATTAATTTGCAAAATTAATTCAATCTGATAAATGGTTATAAAATTGTCATGATACTAACCAAAGCCAAAATAAGTGAAAAGTTTCTCTGATGTAACCATTCGATTTATTATTTTTGTTCTTTCTTTATTTCCAGGCTGTTTGCAGGCTTGGAGACTGGAAGCTAAATAATTTTTTTTTTCTACCAAATTCTTCAACAGAGGATTAAGATTGGAAAAAAGTCATCATTATCCTGGGCCCAGAGCTGATGTGGCTATACTGCTTCCAGCATGGCTGCTCATATTGTACATCTTTTACAAGAACCTTGGCTTGTGAACACTGACCAGCATCAGTCCAAGGGTTAATAGCCCAAGCACTGATGGTATTGCCTGTGAAAGTCTTATGCCAAATCTAAGAATTTCATTTTACCTTCTTCCAGTTGTATTTCCATGTACTTCTACTTAACCTGGCAAAAAAATTAAAGCCTGTCATGGTTTGAGATAGCCCCAAAATCCAATTCCCTAGCTCCATTCCCCCTCCCACATCTCAACCCAATGTGAGATGGGTTTTTCCAGACAAAACACAACCAGACTCAGAATGGGGGAAAGGGAATATATTACAATGACTGTACAAATAAATACTATAACACATTATACACACGATCACAACTATCTCTACTATGACATATAGTATTTACAATGGATCAGATCTCTTCTCCCCTCCAAATAAAAGTCCAGGAGGGAAAGAAGGACAGATCCCTTCCAGTCTCTCAGGGTAGCAGCTTCTTCAGAGTAGCAGAAGCAGTCTATCTCTCTCTCTCATGCATGCAGCTGTTGCTGGATCTCTGCCAGCACTCATGAGGGAGGTATCCAAGCTCCCTCGGCCCCGTCGCCAACCAACTGAGGGGTCTTCCGTGGGCTTCGTAACCCCAGACAAGGTCGTTTCACCACGTCATATCACGAAGCACAGGGGGTCTTCGTGACGGTCTGGTATCTCCAGGAGATTCAAGCTCCTTGCAGGGCCTCTGTGCCCTGCCTCAGGCTGCCACCTTGGCAGCAGTGCGAGGGGGGAGCCAAGATCACCCCCTCTGCATTCCTCTCCGTCCCGGTCCAGCTTCCCAGGATGCTCTGAGCTTCTCAACTCTTCTCTCTCTCTCTCTCTGGTGTTGCATGTCTCTGTTGCTCCGTCTTATCTCTTCTGGCTCTCTGCCACCGCTTCTCCGGTCAGCACCGACTGCTGCTTTCTCCGGCCGCTGCCCAGTTTGGAGAAAACATCTCCCAGCTCACAGCTACAGACACATAGTCCAGTTTAACACTGTTCCAAGTCTCTGCAGCCCCCAACTGGGGCTGGGGGGCCCCAGAGGCCCCGAGGGGCTCCAGGCCCCTTTCCTCGTGCCTCCTACAACATGACCACTTCTTCTAACAACCAAAACTACAACTCATCTCTTCCAGTCTGGTTGTGGTATGTTTACATTTCTGCAGGAGCGCCCATTGGACAGGACTTCAAAACTTCCAGGGATTCCCACCCCTTGGGGGTTACCACTTTTCTTAGCCTCTGGGGGAAAACAAGGTTCAAACCACTACAGGATGTAACCATATTCCCCACCAAAATAGTTACCTTTATACCACCACTAGAAACAGGAAGTGTCAGATTTAAGTCAAACACAAACAGTGGTGGTGAAATGTGCCAGAAATTTAAAGTATTTAGCAAAACTGGTAGAAACAGTATCACAGTTCCCTGTCCTAGTTACAGGGGCCAGGACCAGTTTATCACTATGTGAGTATAATTAAAACTGTGTATTCTACACCCTCTATGTCATTTCTGATGGACTGTTAATTATGGATCGTTTTCAGTAGGTGCCCAGAGCACACCTGACACCCCAGGCTACAAGCTGGGCAGGGGAGTGCTTCGTCTTCACATCAATGACTGAACTGTGATAAGTCACCTCTGGGGAGGCATTAGCACCTGCACACCCAGCCTGAGGGGCCATCTCTGCTAATGGGCTGTAATGGACTGGCAGAAGAGTAGGCAGCTGCAATGACCTAGACCATGAAAGATTCCAAAAATATCCCATGACTCACAGAGTTAAATCACCCATTGTGAAATTCCCTGCCCTGGGGGAGGTACTGGGCATTCCCACCTGAACCTAAGCATTTATAATCTTGAGGTTTGGGGACTTCTGGTACCACTTGTCAGATCCAGAGGAGGACCACAACTTCAATAGGACTGCGACTGCCACTCTCGACAAGACTGCAGTCATCACTTCAACAGAACTGCGACCATCATCCAGACCAACAGCTTTCCTTTCCTTTTACTTTGCACCCAGGGGGACCACATGGTGCTCAGCACCGAAGTGGACGAACACTGTTCTGTTCTTGCCCCAGGGTGCTGTGTTATACATCTGTGGGTTAAAAACTTTTTTTCTCTGTATCATTGTATTTGTTGTAGTCTTTTTTGGTAAATTATAACTTTGACTTGTAATCCCTCTTGAGTTGGTTTCATTTCTCCTGCTGACTTACTTTTAAACCAGCACATTCCCTAACAGCATTTTATAAACATATGTAAATATATAAACATATTTTTTAACTTAGTTCAGTAAAATAATAAAATGTTCATATTGTAGTGACACATCAAAGCACATATGCAGAAGTTTTACTCAATTCTTCTGCTTCTGAGACAGACTAATCTGACATAACACTATGCTTCTGAGCAATAGATCCACTAATGTCATGGCTATTCCTCTCATACCTGAGGTCTTACCACAGATCAATGAAGAGAAAGGCTAGAAATGTCTGTCTCCAGCCAAGACATCTCTGAGTGTCCCTCTAGTTTTTTACCATGGATCTGGTCCCTGCAAATGACAGGCCCAGTGCATTTATCTTATTTTCATAAATAAGCTCCTTCTACCCAGAGAGACAATGTCGGTTTGGCTGACTGCAAATTCTTTTTTATAGAAAGCTCAAGTGTAATTGCAATGGCATGGCAAATGGCTTTAAAGAAGTGGCTTTTCTAGGAATAACTCCCCTCATGGCCACATTTATAGTCTAATAGGAAACTTTTCCTTATTTTGCTTACAGCAGCCTCCTCAGGCTTCAGTCTGTTGTCCTACTTACATTTGAATATTATCTAGTTGCTTGTCTTTTCTTTCTGTAACAATTCCACTTAATCCTTTACTCATCTTTTTGTTATTATGCAGTATTCATACAGTATTCACATATAACACACATAGATGTAACACCTCATAGTTGTTGATAAAACTTAATATTTGCTGGGGGGTACTGCCTTCTTCATGGATCACGCAGTATTTTCCAATTCAATTGAAAGTGTAGAATCACATTTTAAGGAAAAAAAAGAAAGTTAACTTTCTGAAGGGAAAAAACACCAATAAACCAAACAACCTTGAGTTTTATAATAAATAATCCTGGGTAATTCATTACCCAAACCACTCAAGAAATGTAAGATGTGTTTCAGATTTTATGTTGCAAGCTCTAGAAAAGCATTTTAATAGTATTGTTCACTAGACATGAAAACTAAAATGTTCGAAATGTTATTAAGAATATCTTATCTATTTTGACAGTGTCTGATTGTAATTTATGTCTTAACCATCAGTTTACCATAAGGAAATAGGACTAGATGTTTGTTTCCTGAACCCTATACATGAACTGCTCTTCCTCAACAAGTAGGCTATTCCTATTCAGAATAGCCTTGTTAAACTTCTGTAAAGTATGTTGCAAAAGGAAGCTTCTTGAGATATGTGTACATTAGTGTCCTGCCAAACACTGAATCTGAAGCTGATGTAATTTGCAATGTGAAATTCCTCAGCTGTCACTGTAGGTTAAGAGGCCAAAGTTCCAGGTTCAGCCATTATGAAATAAGAAAAGGGCTCACAGCAGGAAACTTTTGGTCTGTGAAAGAAACCATAACACTATTGTTACCGAGAAACCATTTGGCTAAATAAAACTTACATTTGTCTTAAATGTAAAGAACATGCTTTAAATATTTGGACTATAAAGTAACAGATAAAACCAGTAGCATACTCTCATTCCATTCCATGTTCTCTAGATCAGTGGGGTGGCAGCCCTTTAGATTTAGTGGATTAATTGATTCTTCCATTCAACACTTGAGTCAAAACCCCTAACCAAACTATCCCACCCTACTGTTCCTAAAAAGAAGGGAGGATGTGTGCACAGGGATGTCAGGACAACTGATTTTATTAAAATGCTATATACTGCTTCTTAAATATAAGCCACAAACAGGAAAAATACGTTATATAAAAAATTCATATGATCTTAAAGTTTATTTTCACTTCAAACACTTCACAAAGAAAAAGCTGCTTCCAGAGAATTTTTTGAATGTCTGGAAATTAATCTTTGATATTTCTAATCAATACCTCAGTGACACAGGTATTCATTCACTGAAACCAAGAGACCTTAGAGTTCAATTCCTTCATCATTAGTGAGATAGAGCACAATTTTCCAGTGGTTCATGAAAGTACTTAAACTGCTGAACTATTGGTTACATGCAGATCAGAACACTGGGAAGTATTGTTTTAAAAGGTGGAACACAGCATGTCTTTAGTTTTTGCAGTTGCTTTGTAGGACTGAAGGAAAAAAAGAAATTTTGACTCTACTACCTGCAGTCTGCAATATTACACATTCCTGAACAGTAGTTCTTACTGAGGCCAGTGAAGACCAAAGTGACAAAGCTAAATAAAAAAATCACAACAAATGATGTTTTTAATCTAGACAAGCCCTGACAAACATCAGCCTTCCTGTCCTATGAAATTATGATACCTTTCTTTTGAAGAGAATACCCCCTTGACTTCAATGATCTGCTCAGCTTAATACTTTTCTCAAGCTGTTCATTTCGTGTAACTCAAGATGGTTGCAGTGGTTTTTTTTGTGACAATAAAATTAATCCTACTGTAACAGGAACATCTGCAAAGTCATTAATGTTTTCACTGAATGCACCTTTTTTGTTCCTGTTTTTCTAGAAGTATCATTCTTTATTGTAATCTCTCTCCTTCAAATTGAAATGTCTCATTTCAAGTATCAGAGTAAGTAAACAGTGTCTTCTGAAGCAATAGACAAGGCTTTCATGAGAAAGAATTGTATGACTGGTATATTTCCCAAGAGACCACACAAATGATTTCCAAAATACAGTGTACAGGAAAATAAAAATCCAGCCGTTTCTCATGAAACAAGGTCTCATGAGGGTCAGCTGTCAGGGTTACTTCTGTGCTATCTAACTAGTTTTTCATACTAAATTCCCCAAACCAAAATTGATTTTAATCAATTTTTTTGCAAGTCATTCCACATTCACTCACTCTCTGTTTTTATTTATTTATATTTTAAAGTTGAGTGATTTTGAGATTGTTTTTCACATTTATAACCTCAAGGGCATCTGAAGTTCTGACAACATTGTGGTCACTAAACTTTAGATGACTCTCAACTTTTATCTTATTTATCATCCTCGTTTTATT